CACACCCCTCACCCCTCACCCGTGCTCTATGACAGGTCTCAATAACTGTAAACACTTGGCCCGGGCTAAGACGGTTGACATAAATCTCCCGTAGGTACTTGACCAACCCTCATAGTCTCCGGGAACAAACACGAGCAGATGACACAAACTTTTGTCCTAAACTGATACACCCACAAACTTGTGTACGACTCTGGTAGATATATCTACATCCACAAACTTGTGTACGACTCTGGTAGATATATCTACATCCACAAACTTGTGTACGACTCTGGTAGATATATCTACATCCACAAACTTTTGTACGACTCTGGTAGATATATCTACACCCACAAACTATTGGACGACACCGCTACATCCACAAACTATAGACCTACCTTCAGAAACGCAACGTTTACTGAACAATTTCTCCGGCTTTCTTTGTGGTTCCGGGGAATGTTCGAGTGATTGGGGAATGTTCGAGTGATTGGGGAATGTTCGAGTGATTCCTTCACTGGTCTCATCTCATTCTCTCGAGAGTGGAACTGATGTGTTGTTTGCTGTTTTGTTATTCGGGATGACGTGTGGATCAATATTATTGTCTAGGATGCTGTTGAAATGACAATGACTTCATGAATGTGTACCGTGAAGGTTACTTACAAGTTTATCCACCCTGTGAGATAGGATTGCTGTACAAGTTGTGTGGAAACCCGCTGAACTGACGACAGATTTGAGGTAGGAAAAAGTCTTTAAAAAAATCGTACTTCCGAAAGTGGCGTATCTTTCTCAGTTTGTGGTTTCTGGAAGTGATCTGTGAGCCCACGAGCAGGTGAGGATAGTTTGTACATGTGTGACTTCTTGTCGCTTTGCTTGTCTTTAGTTGTTGTAATGTTTCACAATTGTAAGTGGTGATGATCAATAGTTAGTTATAGAAGAAGAAGAAGAAGAAGAAGAAGAAGAAGAAGAAGAAGAAGAAGAAGAAGAAGAAGAAGAAGAAGAAGAAGAAGAAGAAAGAGGAGGATAGAAAGACAGAAAGAAAGAAAGAAAGAAAGAGATAGGTAGATAGTTTCGAGATAGATAGCTAGATAGCCGGATAGATTAATAGATAGATCGATAAATAGAGAGACAGAGAGAGAGAGAGAGAGAGAGCGAGAGAGAGAGAAAGAGAGAGAGAAAGAGAGAGAGAGAGAGCGAGAGAG